ACAACACGTTGTTCTCAGAAACTCCTTGCAACCCAATGTCCACCTTCCAGAGAAGGAATAGTTCTGTGATCATTTCTTCATGTGATTCTAAGATGTGTCCAGAAGTTTTATTTTAGAATCTTCAGCTTTCCTTCCTTCCTCGCTCCTTTACTTTATTCCTTTACTTATTTAGTTCTTTCATTTTTCCCTTTGCTTTATCCTCTACTTTTCTATCATAATACATTTCTTTTTATGGAATCTTACTTTCTACTAAATCCTATTTAATTTTATCTTTCCCTTCACATAACTAATGAAGAAATAATTATCCCCCAGTCTCCATTATCCCTTTCTGTTTCTTAGGCAGAGAGTTTCACTATCATCTGAAGGGCCAGCTCAACTGGCAGCCCTGATAAGCGCCACTAGTACCACCAGAAGCCAAGATCCACTCCTAAGCTTCTGAACCATGGCACATCCAAACAGGCATCTGGGGGCCCAGCTTGTTTCACTGACGATGAGTGTAGGACCTCTTCCTCTATCACAATCACCATCATGAACAACAAAGTGTGCTATTGCAAAAGAAGTGTGTTATTCCATTCTCTCAATTCTACAAAACAAAACAAAGGACACAGCAGATCCCCCCTTAGAAGACAGAATATGGTCAAGAATTTGACTGAAAAGTGCCAGATTATCCTAATATTTCTGCAACAAAAGCATGGCTGAGATTAGTTACCGGACCTTAAGCAACCCCTGCCTGCATGAAAGAAAAGGAAATGTGCAGATGGAGACATTAAGATAAGACAACTAGTAGTGCTCTTTTTTGGTACCCTGTGCAGAGGAATAATTAAAATCTGTGATTCAGATTTCCTACACTGGGTACTGATCCTGGGGAAAATGTATAGGATTTTGAGAAAATATACAGCAATTTTAGAATTCTTATTTTCATAATCATTTCCAAGGTAGTGAGTAACAACATGTCTATCCCAGATTAAGCCTTCATCAGTGATGTCTGTTTTTATCTTGAGGAATTTAAGAAAGTTGTAAAATGTACAAATTATAAAAAATGAGTCTTTCTTCTACTTCCTAAAGTGTAGTTTCAGAATCCAGTCTTTAAGATTTGTAAGTACTCAAAAACATACACACTAATATACAGAGATCCTGAACTATATTTTTTTACAATGATTCAACTTAATAATTTAAAAAACATCTCTTTCAAGGCATTACATTTCCAATACACTCCGTCTACTCTATTTTAAATGTGAAACATTACCTGCCTGTTGTGTCGGGGATGTTTCTTGACCCTTAGGTGCAGTAGCAGTAGCAGCAACATCCAGGCATCCAGGTGATCACTCTGGAAGCAGCTCACAAGGTACACATTAATTAAGCTACCAGAAATAGCATAAAATTTTCTGCTCAATTATGGAACAGATTTATTACACATACGTTTGCCACAATATTGTCAAACACAAGTTCTAATTATATGTATGATTAGGATTTTCCAAATATTACACACACACACAAACACACGCACACACATGCGTATATAAATATATAATCTCTGGCTAATCCACATATTTTATTTGAAGTAATTCAAATGAGTATTTAAAGTTTGTGTAGGGAGTACTAATTATTCACTTCATTATCTATGATTACCATATTGTCATCAATATTTCCTAACTGGTTTCAAAAATTACTTTTTTTTTCCTGATCAAGTCCAGGACTCACGTAGACCTGTGATGATGGGGGAAGTTCTTCTGCATATGTGGTTCTCTTATTGGTTGATGAATAAAACACTGTTTGTCCAATAGAGCCAGGGAGTTAGGTCGGACCAGGAGATGCAAACAATTCTGGGAAAGGTAGGTGTGGAAAGGGCATGAGAGGAGATACCATGTAGCTGTCAAAGCAATGACAGGTCTGGTCATCCTCTGGTAAGGCAAGATCACATAAAATATATATAGGTTAGTATTTATGGGTAAATAATGAAGACAGAGCTAGACAATAAGAAGTTCTAGTCATTAACCAACAATTTAATAATAATACATGTCTCTGCTATTTGGGGATGAAGAGCAGCAGGACCTGGTGGAACTAGAAATTCTAGCTACACTGCCTGTCCTCAACCTTGCAGTAAAGATCTTGCTATTCTAGCATTTTTTCCTCCTAGCCCCAAGAGCTAGGACTACTACTGAGTCTACCCCCAGGCCATATTCATGCAAATACTGGGTCTCTAATTGAAGATATATTTTTAATAGTAGGCAAGATGTCCATAAATTAAGCCATACCCTAGCAGAATATTTTCTCACCTCTTAGTAACAAGAATTGGACATTTGATATATGTATCTGCACATACTTATGCCTTACATCTATGCATTATTCTCCCTAGTGCTCTTGATCATTCAAAGGAACAACCTCAGGTTCAATTCTTTAGTTTTTGCAGCAAATGATAATTGCCAATAATATTTTTTTCATTTTTTTTTCTGTGTTCCATTTAAAGAGCCAACTCTGTCCTCATTTTAACTATCGTTCCAGCAGGGGGAGATGATGTACATGTCTGTCCCATCAAGATTGCCAGCCTTTGAAATGCCATCCAGTTACAGTAACTGTAATACTAGGTTCAAAAAAATTTTATAGTTTCTGATTTCTTTATCATTCAGCATTTTTCCCTATAGTCTCTGTCCACTACTGTGAGAGTGATCCGGCACTTTTTATATTCACAGTTATCCAGTGGGGAGTGGAGATCCTAACATCCTAACAATTCCCTGTATTGTAGATGGGGAGAAAACCCTGTCTTAGGACAACAGCCCTGAACAATGACCTTCCTCAACAGGAGGACTAATAGCATGCATGTTTCCTGTTCCATTCACCCATTGTAGTACAGTGCTGAAGTACAAGGCTGGTAAAGCTGCTGGATTGCAGATTCTTGTAACCTGAATAGAGGGTGCTGATTGCAGATTCTTGTAACCTGAATACAGGGTGCTGGTTAACATCTTAACATGTTTACATAGTTGAGAATATGAAGGCCATAGGAAGAAATTACGTCCGTATGTCAGAGCGAAGAGATTTGACATAATACAGCTCAAATGTGATGCCACTACTCTGATCTCAAAAGATCATTATATGAAGGGGATATACAGGCAAGGTGTGATATTTCAATGACTATTGATATGTCTGTTTGGGCATTTTTTTCTATCTTAAATATTAATAATGGTATGAATCTGTGGAAATGAACTCTTTCTATTTATTCAAGGAAGTTACTACCAACAGTGATATTAATTACCATTTTAATGTATTCTATGCTCGTGAGCATAATGTAATTGTTTAATTAAAATACAAATATGTTATCAACACATGAAATATATTTATATTAATGTATATAATCAGGACATGGGACATAATTTTTGTCTCTACTGTAGACTCCTTGCTGTACTTCAAAGCAAACACTATGACCACACACTTCAGAGTCACCCACGTCTTTGATTTTTCACATTAATCAATCAGTTTTATATTGTAGTCACCTACCCATTCTTTTTTAAATCATTCCTATGCCCATCAAAATATACAGGTTCTATGTGTGTGTGTGTGTGTGTGTATAATTCTAACCTAGGTAGATTTCTGTCTCCCACAGAATAATGACCTGGACATGTAAAACTCTTTCCATTCAACCCTCATGGAAAATCACACTAAATCTATTATAACCATACTACCAATGAAGACACAATCTGGACCCTACTATCACTCTAATTCCCCATGTGTACCTTCTACCTTACTTTCTTACATGCTTCTTTACCACACAGCTTGTATCCCTCTGCCTTGAATCTAAACAAATAGGCGTGTCTTCTTAAAATGGGAATATTTATTGTGTCTATAGCATAGACAATGTTAGTAACCACTGTTCATTCAAAGGTGTGAATGACACTTGTAACAGAAAATTTGTATTACTTAAAGACAATAATTTGTGTGAGAGAATAAAACTCAGATGCAATAATCGTAAATCTCTCAATTAATTGTGCATAGATATAATTCTAGCCTAATATATGGAGAGAGAGCATTTTTACATTTTATGATTACATCTGGACTTGATAGTAGTTATTTAGTAGCTGAGCTATCACACATAGAGTAAAGTAAGATTTTCTTATCTGAAAAACTGAGTTATTTATGGGAGATCCTGTCATTCATTACAAACCATATTTTTCAAAATTATTATTTTACCATTCTGGAAGTCATCATGAGCAAGAAGCTGCTTGGTGAGTTTTGGAGAACAGTCCCAAAAGATACCCTGAGTTCAGGGAACATTTTAGAAAATGGAGTAAAAAGATTGTAGAGAGCCAGAATTCCAGGGTGTTCACTCTGAGGTTGTATCTCCTATTGACATCTAGCACTATAACTGTAAGATCTCAGGAGCATGTCCAGATATGTGAGCTGAACAAGAACAATACCAATAAACATGAAAAACTGCTTGGTAGAATCTATGAAACCTCAATTCTTCACAAGGAAGTACAGACAACACAAGAAAACTCATAAAAGAAGAGATACTTCTGCCCAGGGAAGAGCAAGCCAGTTGTTTGTCCATGTCCTAATTATCAAATCTTAAAGCATGTGTACATGTAACATTATACAGATCCAATAGTGTTACTTAAATATGTGTGTGTGTGTTTGAAAATAAAAAAAATTCATGAATTTGAGAACAAGCAGGAACAGTTATTTTCAGGGTATTCTAAAGGAAAGAAAGGTAAGGGAGATATATTATACTTAAATTTCAAATATAAAGAGGAAACAAAAAGCTGCACCACAACAACATCTACAGATACTTATGAAAGGACCTGCAATCATTTGAAAACTGTACCATATGTCATAGTTCCACTGAGGGACACTGAACAGGAAATTCTATTTTGAAAATAACAGAAATGAAAATAAGGTGCAACTTATACACTGGAGCTCCTCTTTAATCTCCAAAAAGGAGTACATTTTCTAAAAATAAATGTATACTGCCTATGTTATCTGATACATAAGAGGACCACAAGCTCTTAATGAAACACTGACCTCAACAGCCTTGCAGCTGTGCCCAGCCATTGCTGATTTGCATGTGCCAGAGCACAACAGGCTGCCCTGAGGACTTCTCCATCATCAGGTCACACTCTGTGCTAGAGTCAGCCTCACACTGGTCACAGTGCAGATATGAGGGCCCCCACTCAGCTCCTGGGGTTGCTGCTGCTTTGGCTTAGAGGTAAGGAAGACATCATTGGAAATTTATTCAGCTGAGTGTTATCAGTGCTGGCTGGTCTCTGGGAATGTTGTCCTACAACAGGAATAATTATGTGGAAATTTGTTTTCCATTCTCCAATCTCAGGTGCCAAATGTGACATCCAGTTGACTCAGTCTACGGAGTTATTGTCAGCATCACTGGAAGACACTGTCACCATCACATGCCAGTCAAGTCAGAACATTTACAATGCTTTAGCATGGTATCAGCAGAAACCAGAGGAACCTCCTAAGCTCCTGATCTATAATTCAAAGAGCTTGGCAGATGGGATCCCATCGAGGTTCAGTGGTAGTGGATCTGGTACACAGTATTCTCTCAAGATCAGCAGCCTGCAGCCTGAAGATGTGGCAACTTATTTCTGTCAGCAGGCTTTTAGTACTCCACCCACAGTGATTCAAGCCATGACATAAACCACTCAATAAGCATAAGTGAGAACCGATGCTTACTAGCTGCTGACAGTGTTTCTCTTTGGCAGAATTTAAAGTCAATGTGATATTTTTGTATAGGGATCATATAATCTTTTCTAAGTCCTAAATCTCTGTCCCCTTCACAACACTTGCATCAAAATTACAGAATGCTTTTCATGACTTCCATTAAATAAACACGATTTTCTGAGTAGCAGAAAAATGGCAACAGTTAAATTTCAGGGTTTCTGTGCACCTATCCTAGTCTCTGAGTATATTGCACTCATATGGCACACAAACATGTGTGCTGGTAGAATAGCAATAGTAAACAAAAACACAAGGGAATTGTAAATATTTATAATTTTAAGGAGCTTGTATTAATACAAAATGATCCCGAGACCAGATTTTTCTCAGAATCTAGAGTCCATTTTTTTTCATGAAATTACGACTCCTAGAACACGAGTTCCTCAGCTAGTGTGTCAATTAACATATCAAATATATGGATTTTCATTTGATAGTTAGATAGTCTGTTCATTTCTGTCCTTACAGGAAGTGCAAATGTCTTATTTTTCTATTGTTTTGACAAAACATTGTGATCATTTTATATAAAAGAAAGCATTTAATTTGGAGGGTAACAGTTCTAGGTTAGTCCATGACCAATATGATGGGAAAGAATGGCAAAAGGCAGGCAGGCATTGCCCTGGAGCAGGAACATAGAACCTGTATCCTTATCTGCAAGTGTCATGAAGAGAGAGAGAGGATGGTGTTGGTATTTGAAACCTCAGAGCACACCAACCTTTAAACATCTCCTAAAACAAGGCCATGCCTCCTAAGCATTCCCAAAGAATCTGACAGTTAGGAACCAAAACGTCATATTTGTGACCTTATGGGGGAATTTTGATTTTCATTAAAAGTACAACAGCAAGTAAAATTTCTATGATACAACACTATAGGGAATGACTGAGTTAGAGTAGGGCAGATTGGGTGTAAGGATAGCTTAGCAACCTTGAACCAAACTGTGCCTGAATAACACACACATAACTTTCCAAAAAAAGCACTTGTCAAGTTGGAACTACAACTTTATGAAGCAACATGAACACCACTTTCCAAACAAAGAAATTAGGTCATTCTAACCTATGTTTCCATAGTAGACTCTAGTGCAGCAAATACATATGGAGACATATAAGGAAGGAGCTGGTTTTTATATAAATTTTGTTTAACTTAGTAACAATATTATTTTTCATAGCAATCCCAGTTTCCTCTCCCTCCCATCCTCCCATGCTGCTCAGCAACACTCCCATCCCATCCCCCATCCACTCCCCAGGGAGGGTGAATGAGGGGTCATCAGAGAGAGAGGGAGGAGTGATGAGCAAAGGGGTCTAGACTGGGCTGGTGAAACCCAGAGAAACTGCTGACCTGAACAAGGGGGAGATCTTGGATCCCAGACTGATGGCTGAGAGGCCATCATGGAACAGTTCCAGACCCCCTGAATGTCGGTGTCAGTGAGGGGACTCAGGCAATCTATGTGATTTTGGCATAGTAGATTAGTATTAATCCCTGGCACACAAATGGACTTTGGGGACCCATCCCACAATGAGGGATGCTTTTTCAATCTGGACACTTTGGGGAGGGCCTGGATCCTCCCTGGAATGAAATGATAGGCCTTACCCTCTATGGGGAATGGAGTGGGGATTGGGTGGGAGGCTAGAGGTTGATGGGGGGGAGTGGATGTGGAGGGGAGGGAGATGGAGCTGGGATTGACATGGGAAGCATGCTTGTTTCTAATTTAAATATATAATATAAAGTTTAGAAAACAGAACACATAATCAAACAAGCAAACAAAAAATCTGTCAAGTCATTTGACACAGGGCCTAGGTCCTCCCCTGTGTATCTAGGCTAAGAGAGTATTCCTTCACGGGAAATGGGCCCCCAATGACTATTCTTGCACTAGGGATACATCCTGGTTCCACTGCTAGAGGCCGCATAGACTGCTCATTGCTCCTAGCTGACAACCACGCTCAGGGGTCCTGGTTTGGAACAATATTGTTTCCCCAACTGTCAGACTGGGGTCCATGAATTCCCATTTTCTCAGGTCAGCTGTTTCTGCCAGTTTTCCAAGCATGGTCTTCACCCCTTTGTTGGTCACTCCTCAATCTCTGAAACCGGATTCCAGGAATTGGGCTCAGTGCTTAGCTATGGATCTCTACTTCTGCTTCGATCAGATCTGGATGAAGGCTTTAGAATGACATTTAAGGTAATCATTAATCTCATTATAGGGGAAGGACATTTAAGATAGTCTCTTTACTATTGCTTGGGTTCCTAGTTGGGGTCATCCTTGTGGATCTCTTTACAATTCCCTAGTGCCAGAATTCTATTCAAATCTATAATGGCTCACTCTATTGATGTGCCTCATTTTTTGCTTTACATCCATGCTATCTTTAAATTTTATTATTGATGTGTGTGTGTGGAGGTAGGGGCATGGTGTGGTGCATCTGTGGAGGTCATAGAACAACTTTGTGAAGTCAGTTCTTTCCTTCCTCCTTTAAGAGGTTGCTTTTTTAAAAATTATTTATTTATTTTTTATTCCTAAATTATTTAATTTTTACACATGTTACTCCCAATTCCCTCTCCCTCTCCCCTTTCTCTCAATCCCACAGCCCCCCACTCCATGTGCCCTCCACTTGCCAGGGATAGTAAGCCCTTCTATGGAGGGAGTATCAAAGTCTGTTATATACTCCTGGGCAGGGCCTATGCCCTCTACTGTGTGTCCAGGCTGAGAGAGCATCCCTCCATGTGTAGTGGGCTTCCAACGTCCATTTGTATGCAAGGGATATATACTGATCTACTATCAGAGGCTCTCAGTCACCAGTCTGGGGTCCATGCTTTCCCCCTTGTTCAGGTCAGCTGCCACTGTGGTTTTCATTAGGCCAGTCTTTACTCCTTTGGAAGCCACTCCCCTTTGCAACTGGGTTCCAGGAGTTCAGTTTGCTGTTTAGTTGTGGGTGTCTGACACTGCTTCCATCAGTCACTGGATGAGGGTTCTAGGATGACATATAAGTTAGTCATCACTCTCATTATAAGGGGAGAACATTTGAGGTATACTTAATGCCAGTTGGTGTCATTCTTGTAGCTCTCTGAAAATCCCACTAGTGTCATATCTCTCCTTTAATGTCTCCATCTGTTACTGTATCTCTCATCCTGTTCTCCTCTATTCTTACCCTGACAAAACATTTCTGCTCCCCCATGTCCTCCACTCTTCTCATCTTTTCCCACTCCTGTTCTTCCATCTCCCACTTAACCCTTATCCCCCCATCCTCCCAATCCCCTCAGGAGATCTCCCATTCCCTTTCACCTGGTTAGCATGCACATGTCTCTTAGGGTCCTCCCTGTTTCCCAGAATCTCTGTCAGTGGGATTGTAGGCTGGCAATCCACTGCTTCATGTCTAAAATCCATATATGAGTGAATACATACCACGTTTATCTTTTGTAACTGGGTTACCTCATTCAGGGTGGTTTCTTTGTCCCATCTATTTGCCTGTAAATTTCAAGGTTCCCTTGTTTTTTCTCCACTGAGTAGTACTCCATTGTGTAAATGTACCACATTTTCTCTATCCACTCTTCAGTTGAGGGACATCAAGGTTGCTTCCAGGTTCTGACTATTATAAATAATGCTACTATTAATATAGTTGAACAGATGTTCTTACTGTATGAATGTAAATCCTTTGCATACATGCCTAAGAGTGGAATTGCTAGATCTTATGGTAGAGTGATTCCCATTTTCCTCAGGAATCTCCATACTCATCTACAAAGTGGCTGTATAAGTTGGCACTCCCAACAGCAATGTAGGAGTGTTCCCCCTTTTCCACATCCTCTCAAGGATAAACTGTCATTGGTGATTTTGATTTTAGCCATTCTGACTGGAGTGAGATGGTATCTCAGAATTGTTTAATTTGAATTTCCCTGATGACCAAGGATTGTGAACACTTTTCAAGTGTCTCTCAGTCATTTCAGACTCCTCTATTCAGAATTTTCTATTTAGTTTAGTACCCGACTTTTTAATTGGATTATTTAGTGTTTTTGACACTAGCTTCTTGAATACTTTGTAAATATTGGAGATCAGCTCTCTGTCAGATGTGGTGACTATCTTTTCCTATTCTGTGGGCTGCCCTATAGTCTAGTTGACTGTCCTTTGCCTTGCAGAAACTTCTCAGTTTCAGGAGGTCCCATTCATTAATTGTCGATCTTAGTGTCTGTGCTACTGGTGTTATGTTCAGGAAGCTGTCTCCTGTAACAATTCCTTCAAGGATACCTCCCACTTTCTCTTCTAAGAGGTTGAGTTTGGCTGGATTTATGTTGAGGTCTTTGATCCACTTATACTTAAGTTTTGTGCTTGGTGATAGACATGGATTTATTTGCAGTCTTGCATATGTCAGCCTCCTGTTATGTCAGCACCATTTGTTGAAGATTCTTTATTTTTTCCATTGTAAAATTTTAGCTTCTTTGTCAAAGATCAGATGTTTCTATGTGTATGGGTCAATATCAGGGTGTTAAATTGATTCCATTGGTCCACCTATCTGTATTTATGCCAATACCAAGCTGTTTCCAGAACTATATCTCTATAGTAGAGCTTGAAGTCAAGGATACTGATGCCTCCTGAATTTCCTTTATTGTACAGAGTTGTTTTGGGTTTCCTGGGTCTTTTATTTTTTTTCACATAAAGTTGAGGACTGTACTTTCAAAGTCTGTGAAGAATTGTGCTGGGATTTTGATAGGGATTGCTTTGAAACTGTACATTACTTTTGGTAAGACTGCGATTTTACTATGTTGATCCTACCTATCCAATAGCATGGGAGATCTTTCCATTTTCTTGTATCTTCTTTAATTTCCTTAAAGACTCAAAGTTCATGTCATACAGGTCTTTTACCTCCTTGTTTAGAGTTACCCCAAGATATTTTATGTTTTTTGTGTCTATTATAAATGGTGATGTTTCTCTGATTTCTTTTTTG